TAAAACTGATTTTAATAGAGAAAACCCGCCAAGCAAGATAGCTTTTCTTAGCAAAATGGTCATAGCACCTAAAATTCTTAAATGCTAAGTTTGCTTTTATTGTATGTTTTTCTTGCCTGTGAACTCTTTGCCCACAGTTTTGATATCTCAGTCAATGCCATTCTCTGTCTAATTTTACAGACACTCGGCTATTTGTCATATTAACTTATTAAATATTTTAGAGAAAGAATTAGAAATGGTCTTGTCCAAAGTGAAATAAGTCAGAGGGAGAAGGTCAAATACCGTATGATTTCCTTCATTAAGTAGTAGATAATAACAACAATAAACAAACACATAGGGACAGAGATTGGATTGGTGGTTACCAGAGGGGAAGGGGGGAGGGAGGAGGGTGAAAGGGATAATTCGGTAAATGTGTGTGGTGATGGGTTGTAATTAGTATTTTGGTGGTGAACATGATGTAATCTATGCAGAAATAGAAGTACAATGATGTACACCTGAAATTTTTACAATGTTATAAACCAATGTTACTGCAATAAACAAAAAATTAAAAAAAAAAAAAAAGAAATGGTCTTGTCCAAGGTCATGGCCTGAGCCAGAACTGATCTCAGGATTCCTTGACTGTGTTCTCTCTGCCATATCAGAAACTCAACTGCCTAAGTGAGTCAGACAGAAAGCATAAATGAATAAACAGACTAAGCAAAGAAATATTTTTTTACTTCCACAGAGAAGTTTTTCTTTCAACTCATAGTATTCTAGGGCTAAATTCCACGTTCCCTCCTTTAACAGAGAGATAGGCACAGGGAAATAGACCTCTAGCAACGTAAAACGTTAGTGCTATCGTGATAAATCGATGAAATCTGGTGTCTGTTGTGGGAAATGATAGGGAGTAGTGGTGCCTCTTACAAACTGAAGGGTACAGGCCTGTCTGAAGCAATCAGTCACCAGCTGACAGCTCTTGCCATGGGGGACTAAGGGTGGCCCAGTGTCTTACATTCACCAATTCTTCAAGAGAAACCAAAATCTGGATTTTAAGTGAAATCTCCCAGTTTTAAAGTATTGGCTCATTTTTTAAAATGTTATATATCCCAAATAAAGTACATTTATGGGCCAGATGCCACCTCATACTACCCATTTATGATCTCTGTGTTATACTGTATTGCATTTCTATTTCTCCCATGTTCCAAATGCAGATGCCACCCTTATAAGGAAGGGCCTAGAAATCCAACCCTAGTTAAATACTGTAAGATGGCCTCTCCTTCTTGATGTGGACCTGAAAGCCATCCTGAAGAAGATCTGGCTCCATCCAGCTCAAGCTTCCTGCCTATCCAAATCGTCTGTAGACTTTTCTGCCTACTCTGACGGCTGCCTGCTCTCAGAACTGAAATCTAAGAAGATGAAGGAAACAAGAAAACACTCATAGAGTTAGACTAGCTCTGTCTATATATTTCTAAGGCAACCACTTGGCAAATACAGTCACTGTGGTAAAACTGGTTATTTCATTGGAAAACAAATAACCACTAATGGGACACTATGTTCCTCTATACTGTGCTAAATGCATTAGAGAATAGACTGTAAGTAGAGAGACCAACCCTAGGAACAGGCCCTCTGGGCTTTTGAAATGAGTGCTCAGCTATTTGACAAACTGGTTTGTTCTTTGATAATCAGGGTGGGCCTTTACCACCAGTTGCCTTGAAAAAACAAAAAGTGCAGCTGATTATTTGAGATCCTGTTCTTCCAACCATTTTGAGTCTTTTGTGGTACCCCCTTCTTTTTAATAATAGATGTTATGAACTGAAAGCCACCTATGTACCAGGCACTTAACCACAACCTTCCCTGCAAAGCAAATTTTATTATCCCCATTAAACAGTTGTAGGATATGAGGCTCTGAGAGGTCAAGTAACTTTTTCTAAGTAGCACAGAATATAAGTATAGACCATGAATTTGGACCCAAGTCTGTCTGTTTCCAAAGCCCTTGTTCTTTCCACTGAGCCACTGTTTTAAAATGTAGATTTTATTATTATTCGGGTATGATGAGGCCAACAGATCAGGAAATGATTGCTGTTGAAATAGTTGGTTACTTACAGTTCTCAAGAGGAGGGGGCATGGCATGCCACGCAGGGCCATGTGGGAAGCACCAGGGCTGTTCCTAGTTATCTGATCCCTAGCCATGGGGTGATTAGCAGGGAAATAGCAGCCCACAGAGGACATGGTGGGGAGGTGGTCTCTGGATTAGTTAGTTTGCCTGTGAAAGGCATGATCACAGGTGAGTTGAGTCCTTTACTATCTCTAGGAATTGGCTAGCCCTGGGAGGGGCAGTCTCTCCAGAGTCAATAAGGCTCTGGATATCAAAGCATCAGAAATACAGACAATAAAAAGACATGACGAATATGGCCACATTTCCTTTTCTTAGACCCAGAAGTTCAAAGTCATCCTTGACTCTGATTTACTTATGTTCTGTGACTGGTTAGTCACTAAATCTGTTTTATTTTCTTTAAAATGTGTCTCATTCCTTCATTCAAGATGTTAAACATTGTTGTAGGCACTGGAGAGTGGGAAATAATGAGGCTCTTGATTTAGAAGAGCTCGGAGTATAGGGTAAAAGAAGGCCTTGTCTGCATTTCCTGCTCTCTATGCCCGATTGTCTCCCTGTCATACATACTCTACCAGACCAGTTTTTCTTCAGTTTTCATCATTTTGCTCCCCAAATCAAAATAATTTCCTATGGCCTCTAATCCAATAAAATTATAAACACTTATCTAATTTTCAAGACCCACTGTCTGTCCCCACCCTCCTCATTCATCCAATATTTCCACCACTTCATTTATTTTCTAATTAAATTGCAGTTACCCTGTAAACAGTTACCCTGTGTGTGCCCCACACAAATAAACACAAATGTAAAGTGTGTGGTAAGTGCCACCAAGAAGTACCTAGTACTATGTGACATATGTTATGCCTCCATATGATTCGTGCATCCCATGTTTATTCAACAAATATTTATTGAACATCTGTGATATGCCAGGCACAGGGCTTGACCAGTCTCCTTACTGTCCATAGCCATATATGTCTTTCCATCTTTATGTCTCTGTGCAGCACAGCCTCCTGTCTGGCATGCCTCGCCTCCAGCCCTTTACTGCTCTAAACTTTACATGTTCTTGGCCTCTCAGCTAAAGCCTCACCTCCTCCAACTGTATAATAACTACCAAATTATTGACCTCTTATTCTATGCTACTGTGTACTATATGTGTTGAATTTCTTATTTTCCACTGTATTCCCAAGCCTAGGCACAGTACCTGATTAGGCTTTTGGTAAACACTGAATAGCTGCATTCATGCATGCACCACACATGCTAGGTTCTGTGCTTCCTCCTGGAAGCTCATTTAAATTCCCTTCTCTGAACTCTGAAAGTACTTCCCAGAGAAATTAGCATCAAATCAAGTAATGCCTTTAATTATGCGTCACTGCTGCCAACTCTTTGAGGTCCAGAATATGCCTCGTCACAGTAACCCAAAGCTGAACCTGGAGGAAGTAAACATTCAAAAGCTGCATGGTTTTTTCCCATTGAAATGACCAGTTGCTTTGGTATTACTTGGAAACGTTTCTGCCAAGCTGCACAAATGGAATTCAACAACTTACATCATAGCTGGAAGTTTAGTAGACAATATGACATAGTAGTTAAGAACAAGGACTTTAAATGCAGAGAGACCTCAGTTTGAGAACTAGATCTGTCACTTACTCCTCTGTGACCTTGGGCAAGATCCTTAATCTCTTTTAGTCCCAGTTTTCTCATCTCCATAGTGGAGAATAGCATCTTTTTCATAGGAGTTTTATAAGGGATGAATGAGATAATGTATCGTAAAATGCTTAGCTTAAAATTGATAGGTGGTAAATGAATCGGTGAACTTTAGGTGGTATTATTTATGCTATTGTTGGCATTATGGCAGACACTGTCTACATCCCAGCAGTCCAGTTTTAAAAGGAGGCCGGGGGAGGAGGGGAGAGGTTATTGAGCCTCAGAGCAGCTAAGTGACTTGCACAAAGTCACACAGCTAGTTAGTATCTGAGCCAGAACCCACACCCAGCCTCTGTGGCTCCAGAACAAATTCTCTTCCTCTTTACACAGCCCCGGCTCTCAGGATACGTGCTCAGAGAGACTGGCTCCATGAGGCCGAAATAACCAGTCGGTTCATAGTTTGAATGAAAATAAGTCGGTCAGAATGGTTGTTTGGGAGTGCCAGAGACTCATGTACGTTTTGAGAAAATACCAGATTAGGTTCAGGAACTCAAGCCCAGTGTTGGTTGTGTTTTATAGCAAGCGGCGTAACAACGTGGGGAAAGCATTTCTCTTCCTGATGCGTATTGCATATCATTTTGTTGAGACCTAGAAAGTGGATAAGGAACAAAGTCCCAGACATGGGATTTCAGAGGAGAAGCTGACCGTCTGTGGGGCTCAGACAGTCCTGTCCTTGCAGAGCCACGTCCCAGTTTCCATGTGATGACTTGTCAACAGAGGAGGTTCCCTGACAGCTCGGGGCGACGCTTTTTTTTTAACTGGGACTCCCTCCTCATAGTCTGTTTCACCGAACCTCTCCATTAGTAAGACACAGTGAGCAATTCAAGGTCTGACGTGCCCTGGGGTGACAGCCTGGTTTAGGAGATGGTGTGAGGCGGAGGTTAGTGCTCACACTGGCTGCCCCACCCATCCCTTGAGTTGCCTTCCTTCCTCTCCTCCTTCTTGGACCTGATGGTACCTGCTGCTACCAGTTCAGCCTTGGGAGTTCCATTCCTGCTACTCTTCTCTTTAAACTTCTTCGTTTTATAAATCCAAAAGGCCACACCAGGTTAAGAAAGCTAGATTTGTGAAAGAGCTGAGACTCTCCTGCTGAGTTAGCATTTTAACATTCTTAGATCCTCTATGGACAAAGAGTTGAAAGAAACAGACATTTTAATATATCTTTTTCTCAGAGAAACTGTAAAATTGACCCATCTCTCTTGTTTTTCAGATAGACCACATGGTGCAGGGCCATGCTGCCTTCCCTGAACTACAAGCCAAGGCCACTGCCAGGTAACTGCCCTCTCTCTTCCCCACACGGTCCACGCATGACGCACTGAGGGCATTTGCTTTAGGCACCTGCATGATTTTCAGATCATGTGGGCAGTGAAAATACCTGGCAGTCCTTGGTGATAAGACAGGCATCTGGATGATCCAGAGCGTGCATGTATGAGTTTTCAAAATGATCTAAGAGAATTCAAAGAACCTAGACATCCCCCAAGAATATGCCAGGGACCATGGATGAGACACGCTGATACAGAAGGAGAAGCATGGATTCTGGAGTCAAAACTTCTTGGGTTCAAATCCAGTTTCTCTCTTTACTAGCTATGTGACCTAGAGCATGTTATTTAACCTCATTAAGCCTACTTCTTCATCTATAAAACTGAGGATAATAACTGATATGAATGATTTCCAGGATATACTGTTAAGTGAAGAAAGCAGAGTGCAAAGGAGTGTTTATAGTATGCTCCCTTTCATGTAAAAAGAGGGCAACATAAGAAAATATATATGTATCTACTCATCTATGCGAAAGAAATGCAAGAAGGTTAAACCAGAAACTGAGACTGGTTACCCATAGGGGGTGGGCGGGAACGGAATGGAAAGAATCGGGGAATGGGAACAGGTAGAAGGAGGGAGCAACTCATCTCTGAGCATACTTCTTTATATAACTCTAACTCTTAGAACTGTGGTGATGCTTCATGTCCCCCTGAAAATAAAGAGAAGATAGACAGATAGATACATACATACATAGATACCAGGATATATGTGGGTGGTGGAGGTGGGCAATGAAATACAAACAGTAAAAAATGAGCCTGCTCTGTTAATAATAAATAACATAACGACACTAAATGGAGTTTGGGTAAGAAAGGAACTCACCTAAGTAACTTTGAGAAAGGATATTTTGACAGTATGCTGGATGGCTGAAGATAAAAATAACTATACATAAATATGATACGCTAATTACTAAATTTGTTTTTTATAGATGTGTGGGTTAACTATACTGAAAATCTTTTATGTATATACTACATTTGAGCAAATAAATAAATATATTATGGATAATGAGAGCCAGGTTTCCCACAAATAGGGAAAGGGGAAAGTTAAAATGAACCTTATGGTAATGGACGGAAATCAGAGGTATCAGTATCAACTTGTGATTTTTAATATATATGTAGCTGGATATAAATAGAACAAATATAGATATGTATATTCATGTGTGAGTATACATGCATGTATTCCGTAGCTCTCCCTGATGAGATGGCCCAGAAGCAATGACACCCTAGTAGCAGTGTGCACACCTAGCACCCAGGGCTCGGTTTCTAAATACCATTCTAATTGTTCTTCAATAAAAGTAATCAGGACTTCTTGGAAAAAATGATCAATTCCAGGGGTAGGGCAGGGAGAATATGTGAACATTTTGTTGGTGCCAGAAAGTAAGGAAATACTTGAAAAGGAATTGTGGAAGTACACAGGAGCCAACTTGAACAATCTCTCAATGGCCTAATTGGGGACAATTTGATCAACAGAATAAATAATGATAGTATAAAATAACTCCATGGGGGCCAGCCCGGTGGTGCAGCGGTTAAGTGCACACTCTCCTCTTTGGCAGCCCGGGGTTCGTGGGTTTGGATCCCAGACAACGCACTGCTTGTCAGGCCATGCTGTGGCGGCGTCCCATATAAAGTAGAGGAAGATGGGCACAGATGTTAGCCCAGGGCCAATCTTCCTCCTCAACAAAAGAGAAGGATTGGCATTGGATATTAGCTCAGGGCTAATCTTCCTCACAAAAATAAATAAACAAACAAATAAAAAAACTCCATGATGCCATACTGATATAAGTAAACAATTGAAGAAATAAATAGATAGGGAAGGGGGACGGTGTCAAGATGGCAGCGCAGGCAGACTCTGAAGTCACCTCCTCCCACGGACACAATGAATTTACAACTACTCTTGGAAGAATTACCCCTAAGAGGGAACTGAAAACTGGATAAAAAGAATGCCCACAACAAGGGACAGTGCTGACCGAGGTAGAAGAGGCAGAAATTCCTTTCTGGAGAGAAAAAGGCCACCTTCTAGCTGCTGCGCTTCACGGCTGCCCCGGAGCAACCTTAAGCTATGAAGCCTTCCCTGGAGGAGTGGGGGATCTGAGCGGGGGAGCATTACCACGATAAGTAGCTTTTGGACTCAGCACAACTGAGACCAGTGTCAAAATACCTGGTTTTGCTGTCTGTTAACTACAATGGGGAGTACCCCCAGAAAAGCTGTCGGACATAAGGGAGAAAAAGAAAGCTTGCTCTTAAAGGGCCCATAAACAAATTCACCCGTTTCAGAAAGCAGCCTAAAATCGCTGAAAAGAGACTCACTTGATAGGCTCTGGGTGCATCTCGGTGAGAGGTGAGACTTCTCCAGGGACTGACGGAAGCCATTACTGTGACCTAATACAGGCGTGCTGACACAGACACATGCTGGCAGATGCCATTGGAGTTCTTCCCCTGGCCTATTAGCACAGGAGTCCACCCCACCCACTAGAGCACTGATTTAATCCAGCTGAGCCAGGGCAGGCAGCCCGCCCTAGGGACTGGCCCCACCCAACAGCAAGCCCTCAGGCAACTTTGTGGGCCCACATAGGCGGGGTGCCTGGAACCTCTGCAACTGGGTGAGTGGGTCCGCCTCTGTGGGGCAGGGTGTGTGCAAGGAGTGGGCCTGCGTTGATGGAGTGTGTGGGGCCTCTGCAGTGGGGCGACTGAGTCTACTTCAGTGGGTTGGGGTGTGCGTACAGGGCAAGACTGTGTTGACGGGGTGTGTGCCCCTGTGTGGACAGGGGCAGTGGGGCCTGTCAACTGCAGCAGACTTGTGCTTCTCAAAAAGCCACATAGGGGTTCAGCCCCACCTTCCAAAGCCTGAAACAGTTGGGTTCTCCCATGCCTGGGGTCGGCCCCAATCAGCTGCAACCCTGAGAGAGCGGCAGACAGCCTTGCAAGCCAGAGGACTACAGCAATTGTAAGCCCCTGAGCCTAGCAACCAGCCATGCTGGGGGCCTACTCAATTAATAGAAAAACTACAACAGGAATGTGCTATTAGACCTGGCAGCCAGCTGTGGGGGGCTTCCCCACTCCTGCAGAAGTGACTGAAGGGTCCATAGCAGCCACACGCAGCTGAGCATTACTACCAGCTAGCCAGGGGGACAGCCTAGCCTCCTTGGGCACCTTCAGCAAGAGCACCTCTACCACAACAGAAGAACACACATAGCCCACACAGGGGACACTCCTGGAACATTTGGAACTGGCGCTGAGAGGGAAGCACACTGCTGGGCCTCACAATGCATCTTTTACATAAGGTCACCTCTCCAAGATTGGGAGACATAGCTCACCTACCTAATACAAGATATAAGCACAGAGAAAGAGGCAAAATGAGGAGACAAAGGAATACGTTCCAAGTAAGGGAAAAGGACAAAACCCCAGAAAAAAAGCTAAACCAAACAGAAATAAACCATCTACCTGAAAAAGAGTTCAAACAAAGAGTCATAAGGATGCTCACTGATCTTGGGAAAAGAATGGATGAACTGGGGCTGGCCCAGTGGCACAAGTGGTTAAGTGCACGTGCTCTGCTGCGGCAGCCTGGGGTTTGCCGGTTTGGATCCCGGGTGCACACCGACGCACTGCTTGGCAAGCCATGCTGTGGCGGCGTCCCATATAAAGTGGAGGAAGATGGGCACAGATGTTAGCCCAGGGCCAGTCTTCCTCAGCAAAAAAAGAGGAGGATTGGCATGGATGTTAGCACAGGGCTGATCGCCTCACAAAAAAAAAAAAAAAAAATAGATGAACTCAGGGAGAACTTCAACAAAGAATTGGAAAATATAAAAAAGAACCAATCAGAAATGAAGAGTACAATACTGGGAATGAAAAATTCACTAGGTAGACTCAATAGCAGAGTAGACAATACAGAAGAATGGAGCAGCAAGCTGGATGAAAGACTGGAGGAAATCACCCAAGCTGAACAGGTAAAAGAAAAAAAAATTTAAAAAAATGAGGACAGTCTAAGGGACCTTTGGGACAACATCAGGCACAGTAACATCCATGTTATAGGTGTCCCAGAAGGAGACGAGCAAGATAAAGGGGCAGATAATCTATTTGAAGAAATAATAGCTGAAAACTTTCTTAACCTAAGGAAGGAAACAGATATCCAGGTACAGGAAACAGAGAGAGCACCAAATAAGATAAACCCAAATAGGCCCACACCAAGACACATCATAATCAAAATGTCCAGAATTAAAGATAAACAGAGAATCCTAAAAGCCACAACAGAAAGGCAGCAAGTTACATACAAAGGAAATCCCATAAGTTTGTCAGCTGACTTCTCAGCAGAAACCTTACAGGCTAGAAGAGAGTAGCAGGATATATTTAAAGTGCTGAAAGGCAAAACCTACAGCCAAGAATACTCTACCTGGCAAGGTTATCATTCAGAATGGAAGGAGAGATAAAGAGTTTCCCAGACAAGCAAAAACTAAAGGATTTTATCACCAAGAAACCAGCCTTACAAGAAATGCTAAAGGGACTTATTTAAGCGGGAAAGAGAAGACCACAAATAGGAATAAGAAAATTACCAAAAAAAAAAAAGAACAATAAAATCACTAGTAAAGACAAATATACAATAAAGGTAGGAGATCAACCAACTATGAAGCTAATATGAAGGTCAAAAGTACTAAAATTATCTATTTCCATGATAAGAGAGTAACAGATACACATGTACAAAAAAAGAAGTTAGATATGATATCAAAAACAAAATGTGGGAGGAGGAGAGTAAAGGAGTAGAGCTTTTAGCAAGAGGTCAAATTAAAGAGACCATCAACTTAATATAGATTGCTATATACATAGGTTATTATATATGAACCTCATGGTAATTACAAACCAGAAACCTGTAATAAATACACAAAAAATTAAGAGCAAGGAACCCAAACATAATACTAAAGAAAACCATCAAACCACATGGGAAGAGAGCAAGAGAAGAAGAAAGGA